CAAACAATAACACTTTCAGCTAGCTTAATAGTTTCCCCATTGTAAAATTACTATTTTTTTAATTATAAATACCTTACCTAATTAGTATTTAGATATTCCTCCTTTATATTCTGATATGCAGTAGGGCATACTATGTATTCAATTAATACACACCCATGTAATTAAGAGCCCGCGATGTTCGTAAACATAATATACACCGATATGATGCCCAAAGAAACAGATCATTTATATTCTTTCACTGTGAGAATCAACCATCTTCAAAGAGTATCAAAGGCTAATAGAAAATGTCAGGTTTGACAATCAACAGACATTATGACTACCGGATGATGCAAGTTCTAATACTTAAAATTGCTTACATCAAAATGATCTGTTTCTAAGGAATGGAAGGAATATTCTGTTTAGGATGTAATCTCCGGTCCGAACCCGATGTGGTGTCATTGGTACTGTCGTGCTACTTAATATTCATATCCGGCTCATTTTGAAGTGGTTTGAGCACTTGTGTTTAAATCCTGTCTAGTGCCTCTGTAACAGAACATGAATAAACTCACCCTTCTTGATCACAACAACTGAAATTTATACCAAGTCTAGAGGAATATTGTGGAAAAGAGTTTAATGCCTTGTCATGCGGCCTGAGTAGCTGTGTGTATTCAGAAAGAGTTTGGGTTGGCAATCACTGAAGCTGTCTTTCTTTCTTCAGAATTGCTAAATGTATTTTAGTAAAACTGTTTATTTGTATTTTGTTATTCTGTTTTTGAATTCCAACAGCAGGAAGTCGACGACATAAGCAAAGAATAGGATAGATGTAGATGAATATCAAAGATGGAAGTACTACTGAAAATCGATAAATGGTGGCATTTGGGGGCTGATCTTATGTAAGCATGTTTAGTGGGCAAAACAGGCATTGCCTCAAAGGGCATTTGGTCTTGGTTGGTAAGTTGTGCCTAAGTGTTATGGAGGTTGTGAGAATTATTTAGCAAAGCATGAAGAAAGGCATTGCTCAGCCACCTGGAGCAGGGGAGACAGGAAGAGGGAAACTGATGTATTGCAAGTGGGTTGACCTATTTTGGGCATCTGGAGTCGTGCTTCATTGTTAATGATAAAGTGTTAAGACATCCTCAGCCATCCATGTGTGGAATCTCTGTAAAAAAAAACATGCAGTGAAACCCAACTGCAGCTTAGAAACTGGCACAGAACAGCACGTCTGGTCAACGGCATCATAGAAATGCCCCCTAAACTTTATACAAGCAGAAGAATTGATTCAGGCGCGAACATTGACGCGGGTGTCATAACGACATGCGACTGCAATAAATTAGCGCGATTCCATTGCTGCAGCTAAACGAAGCGAGTGATTTACCATACCACTGGGTTTTGTGCCTTAGAAAGGATAACATTTAGCCATGTGTGACCAGCTACACAACAGCTTTGCTTCAGCAAGAAGCAGACATTGTAGTAGCTATGGAGACCACAGCCACAGGCACATTAGAGATTGGTAGAGGTGATGAAGTCCCTGCACACACTCTCAGACAACTGCTCCCCCTTGTGGCCTAAAAGAACACAGACAAAGCTTCTATGTCTTCTGATTAACAAAAATACATATATATACACACATGCATACACAGGGGTTGCATGTGGGGCAGTGGGTAGAACCGTTGCTTCCCGCCTCTAGTACCTGGGTTCCACACATTATAAAGGCAGCCGAAGCCTTTGTTAATGGTATAATGCAGAGTAAGGCCCCGGTGAAGGATGGATAGGTGGGTTCTGTTTTACTGTAGCATGAACTACTGGGCTCTTGCGAAAGTGAAGGCCGGTGAGGATGAAAGGGCAGTTCACGAATCACACTCACACGTCTGAATGTTTCACAGAAACTGCCAGGTGCCAGGGTTAGGTCAAGCATGTGAGGTTAGCAGCTGGCTGTAAAGTCTACAGGCAGAACAGATGCAATCAATGGGTCAGGCAGCGTTAAGGAGAACACCAAAAGAAAGCAGGAGTGGTCATTTTTGGCGATGTGGGGGGGGAACTGTTCTTGCGGCTTTATACCCAACAATGTCTGACATTGGACTGGCACTAACTGTTGCTAGTCTGTGTGACAGCGTGGCACAATGCAATTCAAGGTCACAGCAACCACAGTGCTGCTTGCACAAAGGTATTCATCACAACATGAGATTTTGCCATTTAAAAGAAATAGACCACAGCTGAGTATAGAACACAGTTCCTCGCTTTCTCTCATTATGAATACTCATTTGAATAATAAAGACAAAATAAACGGCGTGCATCACAAGTGCTTACTGCCCTGACAACAAATAGTTCCTCATTTGAGTGTGAATGGTAATGATATTGCATTAAAGTTGTTACACGTTGAAGAACAGGTGACCGAAGAAGCGTAACGTAGAAATTTAAAGTGTTGATGTTTATGTATTGACAGGTAGGGAAAATGCTATATGTATATGTATGTGCATATAATATACGGTACATGTCATGGTGTAGGTGTCACGTGTAGGTTTAGTGAGTCACCATCGATCTTCAGCAAAGAGCGTCTCTTCGCTTCTCTTAGCGTCCAGATAAGGGCAGGTGGTCGAGGTCGACGGACCACGGAGAAGCCGTGTTTCGCCGGGGCCAAATGAGTGATCGCCCCACAGCTTGTGTCGTAACTCACCACGACCTCAATCTGCCAGAGCCACTGGGGTGTGATGGATCTGCTTACGGTTAAGGTGCTGTTCCTTTACACGTCAGGTGCAGCTCCGCTCCCTCTACATAACAAACGAACAGCCTGCAAAACCGAGCCCAAAATAATAATAATTACACTAATGGACAGGCTCTAGAAGTCTGAGGACAGGCTGCAATCATCTTTGTGCATTAATGAACAATTTCATTACAGTTGGATTTTATTTTCACCGACAGCCGTCGAAATCTTCAAAGGCTGAAGAACATGCGAGTTATAAAATGAGGATGGTGTAAAAGTAAAATAATAATTAAACCGCATTCTATTTCATGTTTTACTCGCATCAGGCTGCATTTTGAAGTGGGTTTAAAGCCGGCTTTCGCCACAAATCGCCATGTAAGCACAGAGTGAGACTTTGCTTACTACCTCTTACTCTGCTCACTAATGGGATAATAGACGCTGTGCGTTAGTGGAAATCAATTGTATTCTTCTCTGTGATTTTCAGGGAGGGGTCGGTCTTTAATGAATGTCACTGAGTAGGTTTTGTCTCAGCAAACATCATATTATCAATAAAACGGACAGACTCCCAAAAGCACGGTGGCCTGACCTCTCCTTGAGTGATCTCCAGCATTTCCATATATTTGTTCTACAGTATTCCAGCACCAGACAGTCTGAACAAACTAATCAAGCGATATTCAGCTCCATAATTAGTTGATTAAGGTGAGCTGGAGGTGAAACATAACGCTTAAATGGAATAGCTGGCGGTCTCTCTAGGAGAGAGGCTCCAGGTCACCTGCCCCTAACCCACACTGTGGTTTTTCAATAGAAGGCAATACAGGTACTGCAGACAGACATGTGGAACATAGCGATGAAACTCATTTGTTCTCACAAGGACCCCTGAGACACATTTTAAATCACATTGTTTATCTTTTTCTTTTTTTCTTGCAATATAACAGCTCAATCAATACGGCATTAGCTTGCAGTGAGCTATCTACACGAGAGTCTGTAAACATTTGCTATGTCTGGATCTGCATGCTGGATCTGCATGCTTTCCTCCGTGGCGGCACGTTTCCATAGCTCCCATTTGCGCGTCATTTAAGATGCCGGTGCACAGTTGCCCCGCAGTACGGTGGGCCGCTTTCTGGCGAATTCTAAACCTCTAACACGCTCTGACAGAGTGGCTGGTCTTTGCTATTGGTGGTGACAGAGGAAGCGGAGGATTAAGTGGGGGGCGCCGGCACCCAGGGGTGGCCATCTTTCATCTTCCAGCCACCTCTGGGGTACTTTTTCAAGGGGCAGATCCCTGACATCTGCTGCCTCTCACTGGGGGGGGGGCATGCAGCACCGTCCTCACAGACATACACACACACACACTGGGCAGGTCAGAGAGAAGGGGGTGATGTGAGGTGGCGACTAACAGGTGCTCGTACTCCTGTGAAAACGAGCGGCCGCACAGCATGCAGCATGATAGGAACATCGTCATGTGCAGAAGACATTTATATCTTCATTGCTAATTACACTTGCCCTCTGAATTGTAATTGGATTTGTAATTGAAGTTGTAATTGCAAATAAGTTTGTAACTGATCTGTAACTGAACAAAAAAGAAACATTCAGTATAGTCTGATTTTATGATGGCAAAAAGTAATTTAATATTCTTTTTAATACCAGAGACTTTTCTAAGTGAAAGCCCTGACTGAACCCTGAAAAAGGTCCTCCAAAGCATCTTCTAACTGTGTCTTATTCCACAATATCAGTACTGGCGATTGGTATTGTTCCAGTGCTTTGTCCTCCCAAGGAGTTATTACCGAGAGTGCACCTTGGAAGGGAGGGATGCGGTTTTTGTGTATGGTAAACTTTCGCAGTGCGCACTGCACCCTGGAAGCAGGCCAAAGCGGCGGACGGGATCGATTGTGCGGTCAGGTAGATGATTGCAAGGCCATGGATCGCGGGATGCAAGAAACCCAGGGCTGCGGGTCACGTCCTCCCCCTTCTTTTCAGAAGCGTTCAGAGTTACAACATGCTGCCATCACTTTCCAATAAACGTAGCTTAAACTGAAAATGTAGATAACAGTGAATGTGGGGAAAAAAACATGGCTCTGTGTCCTTATTTTCCTCTCTGTGGGCACAGTAAAGCCATCTGTACACTAATTTTCATGAAGACCATTTAACAAGAGATTTACAATAAAATTAGTGCTGTGTGCAAACACCGAATATGGACAGCCATTTTATACGCATGTGTTGACAGGATTCGCTACACTAGCAGCTTGAAAGCAGCTTGAGGAAAAAATAAGGTCTATTAGCGAAACGCCAGTCTCTCATGTCCAACATGTTTCTGTTCCAGGTCTGTTCCACAGGGCTATAATCCAGAGCGGCTCGGCGCTGTCCAGCTGGGCGGTCAACTACCAGCCGGTGAAGTATACCCGTCTGTTGGCCGAGAAGGTCGGCTGCAACGTGCTGGATACCCTGGACATGGTGGATTGCCTGAGACGGAAGAACTCCCGTGAGCTGGTGGAGCAGGACATCCAGCCGGCCCGCTACCACGTGGCCTTCGGGCCGGTGATCGACGGCGACGTCATCCCCGATGATCCTGAGATCCTGATGGAGCAGGGCGAGTTCCTCAACTACGACATCATGCTGGGCGTCAACCAGGGTGAAGGCCTGCGCTTCGTGGAGAACGTGGTCGACTCCGAGGATGGTGTGTCGGGCAACGACTTTGATTTCTCTGTCTCGGACTTCGTGGACAGCCTCTACGGCTACCCAGAGGGTAAGGACACCCTGCGGGAGACCATTAAGTTCATGTACACGGACTGGGCAGACCGCGACAACCCCGAGACACGCCGGAAGACTCTGGTGGCTCTTTTCACCGACCACCAGTGGGTGGAGCCAGCCGTGGTGACGGCAGACCTGCACGCCCGCTATGGCTCCCCCACCTACTTCTACGCCTTCTATCACCATTGCCAGAGCCTGATGAAGCCTGCGTGGTCCGACGCAGCCCACGGAGATGAGGTTCCTTACGTCTTTGGCATCCCTATGATCGGCCCCACCGACCTCTTCCCATGCAACTTCTCCAAGAACGACGTCATGCTCAGCGCTGTCGTCATGACCTACTGGACCAACTTCGCCAAAACCGGGTAAGCGCCAGCCACCTGGCGGAACACACCGACACCCGAAAGCCGTCTACTCCCTCGGAACGACGACAGATGGTGCTGGTATTAAGTCACACGTTACAAGCTACTACTTTCGCTTTTCCGTGTCACTGGTGAAAAGCTCGTGGTAAATAACCGCAACACAAATGGTCAGCAATGAAAAGAGGCCCCCGCATACATTGCATAATGAAAGTTTTTTTCGCCCTCTTTAAAATTTTATATGTGATTGTTTCTCAGTCAATCTCGTGGTCCTTGTATGTAGGTTAAAACCAGCTCAGATCTAGGACATTTTTATAGGGCAAAAGCGTGTGTGTGTGTGTGTGTGTGTGTGTGTGTGTGAGAGAGAGAGAGAGAGAGAGAGAGAAATGAAGTGAGTGATGGACATGGGGCAGGGGTTGAAGGGGTCATAAGTACAAAAGTTCCTGCGACAGAGAGTGATTAGTGAAACGTATCACATAGCAGCCCATAGCGATATTGATCACGCACCCCATCCTCAGTCAATCACCGCTCTCGCCAGTGCTCTGCTTCACTCCCTCCATTTTTCCTCCCCTTTTTCTATCTATCCTCTTGTTTCGCTTTGAGCATGAATCCCTTCATGCTCATACATGGAGTTCTGTTATAACCTATCTCTCCTAACAACCAAAATTTAATTTGACAGCCACTGTTACCAAAGAATAATTGAACAGGTGCAGCTTGAATCTTTAATTGTTTCTCTCTATCTACCTGTCCATGTGACATTTATCAATGAAAGCAAGTGACATTTGCTAAGTGTCTTTCAAGTCTGGCCTCTCGACAGATCAGAGTTGAAGGAGAAAAAAGTAGAAACCAATCAGTGAAAAGCAAAAGACTGCAAATGCATATGCATTCATAAAATGAGATTTTAATGAAGAAATATGTTCTTGTTAAACTAGAAAACTAGAAAGTATTTCAGCTTGTGTATGTGTTATTCTATACACCTCAAGAGAAACGTGTTAACTACTCCAGACAGACATTTAATGGTGGTATTTGTAGCTTGTGTGTACGTATTTCATATGCATTATATATATTTTTTTTCATTTAAAAATTTGTCTAGCACTTTTATTCAAAGCAATTTACATTTTTGGGAAAGCAAGGTGAGAAACTCCCCGGAGCAGCAGGGGGTTAAGGGTCTAGCTCAAAGGCCCAACAGCGACGTCACTCTGCCACCCCTGGGATTCGATCCGGTGACCTTCTGATTACAAGCACAGCAGCCAGGGGGGTAGGAACCGGGAGGGACAGGAGAGATGTTTTTCATTTGGCTTCATTCATCCCCCCCAATAAACAGACATTTGTATTTAAATTATTCAGTGATGCCCTCCAACCTCAAACTCTCTGCCACACCGCTGACAGCAGCCTAAGCCAATGAGCCACACACCAGCCTCCAAATGGAAGAGGCTCGCACCCGGGTCTTCCAGCACAACAGAGCTTGCTAACCAACTGAGATACCCAGCTCTTTGGCATTCCATACATGATGCAGTACATAAGTCATTTCCACGTTGCTTTCTCACAATTTCTTCTCTATTCTTTGACTGCGCTACAATCCAGCAGAGTAAGAATTACGTAAGAAACAGCACTTTCCAGAGTTCACAGTATGTAGCACATTACATTGACAAGCATGGAGGCTTTATGACCGACAGAAGTCGCCTGATTTTCCTGTTTCCTTCATTCCTGAGCAGCAGTTGTTACCAGGGCCGTTCCTCTTATACAGTATCATGCCTTAGTCCCCTCCACAGAATTCCCTTTTTTAGCACAAAAATTAACATTCATCACCAAACTGTCAGTGGAATTCAGCCCTTCTTTGTCTGTAGGAGCTCATCAAAGGCTTTCATTTGGGCATTATTTGCAACAGCCTTGGCCATAAATTCATAACAGCGCTAATTGTATAATTGATTTTATGCTCCTTACTAACCAGGAACATAATTTTGAAGAGTCCTTGAAAAACTAAATGTGCTGGTTTTTATTATTTATTTTCCTTGCTTTGTGCTGACCTACAACACTATTGTATTATAAAGAACAAAAAAAAAATCTTTGGCTGACACCATGAAATTGAATTCTCAGGCTTTCATGAAGCACAATGTAAGGTACATGGGAATGTTATTCAAAGTGAGAGGCTGAACTCCTTTTCAATCAACAGTATTTCACTTGTCCTGCTTGGTGAGTGGTAGCAAGTAGAAGCAAAAAAGTTTTGTTTGCAAGGTTGTGGATTGTATAAGCTCTATATATCTCTCTAGAACACCTTATAGAGGTCTGCATATTACAGGCAAATGATTTATTGAAATGTATTTAATGAGATATGCAGAAAAATGTTTATGTCTGTTCATCTTCTGTAACTGCTTGCCCTGTTTGGAGTTGTGGGAGTCCAGGGTCTCCCTCAGAGACTGCGGACACTAGGCAGGGAACAACCCAGGATGGGGTGTCAACCCATTGTAGGGCACACTCACACACCTATGGTGACTCCAGTTAACCTCTGCATGCTTTTGCATTGTGGTGGTGGGCGGGGCAAGTACCCAGAGAAAATGCCAGAACACCATGGGATGTACATGCAAACTCCACACAAATGGGGACATGGTGGAGATTCAAACCCGGGTCCTGGAGGTGACAGCGCTGACCACTGCAGCACCATGCCGCCCCCATGCTTGTATCAGTTTGCAAGCAATTCATTAGTCACTGTATAATGGTCAAATCAAACAATTTTCACAATATAAAGCATACCACCCTAATTTTAGTTGTTTATAAGGCAGTATATGAAAAATATATTAACAGATTGACAGTATGATAGAGCAGTCCCTCAGGATTCACAGTTTGGCCTATTATTGTTGTCAGTATGCATCTTAAAAAAATCACACATTGTTTTCCCAGTACTTACTATCCAGTGTCCTCAGTTTTCTGACTGTTGCTTTTTGTAATTCTGCAGCTGTACATATGGTATTTATAACAACAGAATGAATGTCAAAGTCCGATCTTAAACATAATGTGATTCCATGCATTGGTATATGTTAGAGACAATCAACAAGTGGCTGAAAAACAACTAGAAACTCAAAATGTCACCTGACTGATGACGCCAGTGTAGTGTTACCAACTGTCAGCAAACCCGAATGGAAAACAGGAAATATTCACGTGTGTGTGTGAGACTCAGGTCCAAGCTGCCAGCAGTGACAGCTTCCCATTTCACACATAGGAGAGCCGGTGAGAGGTCCAGTGGTTTTCTCTGCTGTTGACCTTGCTAGCATGGAGCTCCGGATTTTCATTACATCAGAAGTCTGACAGTGAAGGCCTGACTAGATTCATCTGTGCTTCTACTTGTTCAGGTATTGAATGGGCTTATATGCCACTTTGACACCGAAGAAACTTGTGCTGAAGTACCATTCCAATGTTATGAATATTTACATGCCATTGCCTTGTATGAAGGCACGGCTGCAGAACAAAGTATTCAAGGTAACACATTCCAAATCTACATGTAGGAGAAGATCAATTCTCTGTGTCACAGATGATGCTCTTGCCATTTAATCCAGAAAAATCCATGGGAAGCACTACTAGGCCTGAAAAAAACGTATCTTTAATCTGAGGAGACCTAAAGCCCGGTTAAGAGATGTTACAGAAAACTCTCTACTTGCTATTCTGCTCTACCCCACTTACGGTTGCTTTACTTAGGCAGCTGCGGGCACAGCCTCACTGTCTACTGGTGGGCAGACCTGTTTTGGCCTCCTGGGTGTTACCTACTGAGAGATTAAAATTCAGCTCTTAACAGCAGGGGAATAGCTAGAATTTTTGGGGCCCCAGACGAAATGTCACCTCTCCCCACTGATTTCATAATTTTATGCATTGAAGACCCCCTGTAAAGTGCTGGGCTCCTTGAATCTGCAAGGGTATCCGTGCCCCTACTGCACCCCTGGGTAGGGCCCCTGTAAAGTGCTGTGGCCCCTGAATCTGCCAGGGTATGCATGCCCCTACTGCACCCAGGCCTGACAGTGAGGTACAAAGGACTGTTTGAACGGTTGAACAATGCAGAACATGCCCGGTTCATCTGAACAGCAGGTCTTAACCGCTCTGTTATAAAAGGCTTTGGACAAGCTGGTTTCGGAGTAGCTCACTGGTCCTTGGCACGTCTGCAGTGACATTCTCCGCGGTCTCAGTGCTGAAAGGATGCCTTTCTCATTTACAACTGGCTGACATTGATGACAGCATTTTAGAGCCGTCCTCGCTCCTCTTTCTGCACCTAGACTGTGCTTGACGTTGCTGATGTCTGTCCAGAGCCACGTACATCCTCCCCGCGACTCCACACAGTCCAGCTGATGACAAGCTGCAACAGGAAAGGTGACTAATGGAGAAACCAGTGCCCCAAATCCCAGCATCTCCTGGCATTCCAGGAAGCAGAATCTGGGTGCGTGAGACGAAGAGAGGACAGTGAATCAGCATTTACCAACATGTAGAACTGCAGCGTACTGTGCAAGCTTGGTGACCTGCCTGTTCTACTGTGTGCACAGGTTAATCTGAGCAACCAGAAAAAGCACACAAACGTTAAGGATTAATGACTCCAGAGTGCCGCCTAAACAGAGGTGAATTGTGAATTCTGTGTAATAAATCATTGATGCTTTAATTAGTGCAGATTGCCACTTGAGATTATACTGAATCTCTACCTGTTATCAATATGTCACAAAGTGGTACAGTACATATAGGCAATATCTCCAGACCACATTTCAGCATATGTAGAAGTTATAAAAGGTCCCCAGAAGAGGTAGGGACACGATGTGCCTGTACATTATTTCACCGACTCGTTATGTGCATCTTATATGTAGATTGAATTTTAATTCTTGATGTGTTTTTAATTGCATTTAGTTATGTTCTGGATATTATTTTCCCTACCATTGTCTTGGAAGAAATCCTTCCCTTTGCCAGCAAACAGGGCAAATGTTTTACCCAAAGTTTTGTACTATTTCCATTTGATCTTGATCTTTGAATACCAGTTTAAATCTTTTTTTACTTCAGATTTAAAACAATATATTATTGTTTAAGTGAGAAAAATAGTGCAAATTCTGCAGTAGGTTGAGAAATTATTTCTTTTTTTTTTCATTTGTTGCTTTTCTTTTGATTTCCTTGATTCACTCTCTGGGTTCCTCCCACATTTACAGGACATGTGGTTAGGTTAATTTGTGTCTCCGAGATGCCAGTTTCCATGAATGTGTGCCCTACCCTGCACTGGTTCCTTATCCAAGGTTCTCCATGCCCTGTGATTCCTGAGATAGGTTCCTGGCTCTTTGCAAGTACTGGAAAAGCAATATGAAAAGTCACTGGATGTACATACGACCACTATACATGTGAAAATTAATGAGACCAGTAGAATAGAAAATTGAAGGTTGAAAGTGTGAATAAATAGCTGATTGGTGAAATTAAGTGCTCAGTAAGAAAGTAGAATTATGCAAATACTGAGGAAATACATTTTTGCTCTTGTTGTTACTTGCTGTATATGTATTATTATTTATTGCTATCATGTTACCTATCAGCATTTACAGTAAAGTGTTCTGCATCAGTAATGCAGATGAAAATGAGAATCTCAATATAACATACGGGGCTGATGTGCATGTGATTAAAGCACACCCCAGCCCTCGGGAAAACAGCTGATGCATTCGCACATCTGACAAACGGCAAACTTTCCTCCGTACAACAGGTTCTGGGGGAGGGGAGATGGGAATATGTGTACTCTAGTATGATGTAGCCCGTTTACCCCGTGGAGGTGCCACTCAACCAATCAGAGAGTAAAGTGTGACGGACATAGGGTTCACAGCGACCGGGAGGAAGGCTTTCAGATGTAACCAGTGCTGAATCCTCCCAGAGTTTAGGTATTATTCTAGGCAAGGGATTATGTATGGTCTACCAGCAGGGCCTGAGCCTGTAAAGAGCCTGGGATTAGATGCCAGGATAATAGAAAACCCTGAGTGCTTCTCAAAGGGTAATTTTGCACAGCTGAGTGCAAGAATCCGAAGAGAGTGGGGGGGCAGGGGAGACTAGGGGGAAAAAAAGCCAAAAATACACCCAGAACTTACTTTTCATCGTACAATCCCTGCTGCTGGGCACACAAACTTTCCACCCAGAGAGCGGATTAGACCCCCCCCCCCACCCACGATGCTTCACAACCAGCTCTGAGGGGAAGCTCAAACATCAGGAGAACGTCTTCCACCTCTGCTGTGGAAGATGCGGTCGCACCTGCTTGTGACGAGTCCTCCGGTGCGTGCAACCTCCGCGCCGTTTTGATAAATTTAGCATTTCCATGTTCCACTTCCTTTGTGAGTAACGTGTTTTTCTTCTGTAACTTCTGAACAGAGTATGTCTGCATGGTCCGAACCCAGCAACATCCCTTGTCTTTTCTGCTGCAGTTATAGTTAGGCAATGCTTTGCAAAGTCCTCAGCTCCATGTCATGGTTAACACGCAATGACACCTCACATTTTATCACATCTGGTCAATTGATCCAGTTCTCTTCAGATGAGTTCATTCCTCCTTTCCCTTTGTCCTTGTGTTAGGGCATTGCATGCTCTAGACATTGCCAAGATTATTAGCAAACAAGACACGGCTGCATACAGCTTTCTTTCTCTCCGTCCTTCTCACTCTCCACCTCCACCACTCTCTCCCACTCTCCCTCTCTCTCTTTCTTTCTCTCTCTCTCACTCTAATTTGTGAACACAAACAGTTCCAAAAATGTCACACAACTCCAGATGTGAATGCAAATTCTACTGCTGTTTAACAAAAAAAACCCCTAAAGAGAATTAACCTTATCCAAAGATCCAAGCCTTCTCAACCTCTGTCTTAAAGTTCATTGTTCTTCCTTGGTGCTAACCTAGCACCAGAATGTTAACATTTTCAAAAAATAATTTGACCTCATCTTGTTCACAAAGGCCTATTTTGCAAAGTCACACAAAGACCCATTAATTTTCACCAACATTACTGTAATTAAGTCTTAAATCCTTTTCCATCCTCTCACCTGAATGCTCTGTGCGTCTTGTGTTAAAAAGGCGATGGTGTATGTTACACCCCATCTCCAGACTGCCCACTCAGTTAAACTTAGCCCTTGATCAGAGGTTTGTAGCCAATAACTTGATTTGCATTAGAGAAGGCGAGGAAGTAATACAGCTTGTATTTTGGTGGAAATGCACTGCATTTGGTGGAGAGGTCCATCTACTCATCTAAACCCTAGACAGGCTTTTTTGGGACAGAGATCGTCTGAGACCTCAATTGCATCCGTCAGGTTCAGTTGACCTCTTGCCCTTTTTAAATGTTGTGGAACACTGCAATTTGACATCATCTGTTCCATTTCTCTTATTATGTCTGCATCCATTGAGGTCAACTTTGAGTGGGCTGGGATTATTGGAGATGAAGGACTGTTTTATTATTCGAGCCTGAGCGCCCTTGCCGTATGAAAACATCAGAAGAAATGTAAAAGCCAGTTTAAATGCCTAGTTTTATGACTTCAATAATCATTTGTGGGATTCGGTGTAGTGCCTTAGCAAGAGAGCTAACAGGAAGCTATCTACTAATGCAGTGCATCCATGCCTGAAGAGTAACGGCAGGCACGTGACCACATTTTCAGCAAGTGGCATTTACTGACATCACGGCCTTTGCAGACTGTGCACACGTGTATGCAATTTCCTAAGTCCGTCGCTTGTGTAGTAATGCTGCAAGCAGAAAAGAAATCTAGGCTACGATGGCACATTGATTTTGTATTATCCACTTGAAATTTGTCTTCATTTGCAGCAAGACTCCAGGAGTCTGTTTCTCTGAAACAAAAGTTGCACACACATGTGCCTTCTAAACCACAAGCTGGAGATCCAAATACACCCCTAGGATTCAGCAAAAAAAAGGGGATGCAAAACTGAAATCAACTCGCATAATTATTTGGGATGCTTGTGTTTCTGACATTTTTATTTAAATCTGGGGTAGGATCTTATAGTTGGGGGATACTACTGCATCACCATGAGTATTTATAAGGTAGGCAAATGCAGCTACAGCGATTCCGTGTTTGTTGTTGCAAATGCGGAGGATCGATATGACCTTACCTCCTATGTCTGCTCCTTTGAAACTTAATTACTGATATTCAGCTACAAAGTCATCATAGCGCGGATGTCGATATTCATTGGGGATCATTACTGCCCTAATAAAAGGGGTTATTTACGGCATGCTCCGCTGACATCCAGCAGCGCTTGGGGAGCACTCCTCAGCCGTCTCGATTTGCTTCACCACTCTGGGAAGCGCTGACCTGAAAAAAGAAAAATTGACAGCAGGGAAGAGCCGGGAAGGGAAGAGGTGTGATCTGCAGTATCGCTGATTCTGTTCTGTGTTCATATCCTTTAGAAACACAGATAGCAGAGGGCAGTCACAAACCATGAAACCCCAGCCTCTATCTGCTGAATCCACTCACAATTCAGCTGCTGAAGCAAGTCTTAGGAAGCCATGAAATCAGTGCGATGAGCCGGATTTAGCGACGCTCGCCTTCTTGCCAGGCCTCATCACCATGGCAAATGTGATGGAAATTTAACGTAGTTTACATAGCAATCCAAGCGTTCTTCCAGTGGACACTGAAGAGTCTTGCCACATTTGTCGGTGTCAGGGCAGGTTGACGAGTCCCAGTCAGGGTCATTCCTGGTCCTGCATTGCAGCAGCTTCATAAGAGCATAAGTGGCAGGACTAGGAGGGAACAGCTCACTTGTCCAAACAACTTTGCCCAACAATGCGTGGCTTCCGCCTGGAGGGGACTTGTGATTGTTCCTGAATGCCATATGCTAACACGGGCAATAAATCGATACCATTCTGTGATTGAAATTGGTGGCCAGCCTCTGCCAGTCAGCCTAAATGACACTCAGTGGAAAACAATGACCCCTACAGAAGAGCGGTTGGCATTGCACCTGGATGCCCCTCCCACTTCACCCCTCCCCCCTCAATTAATTTGAGATCAGAAACTTAATGCGTTCCTTGACCTTTTATATCTAAGGGCCGGCTCTGCTATTTTATGGAAAGCTCACAGATGAATAAAGGGCTAGATTTATATTTTCAGATTTCTTTTACTATTCATACATGGTTTCTTGAGTATTAAAAGGTTTGGTAACACTGAAAGTTGTCATCTATAAGTCATCTATAATGCGCTGTAGATACCTTCATAATATTATAATGGCTGTATATGAATTAAAGATGCTTTGTACTGCATTATGAAGGTATCTACAGTGCATTATAGATGACAGCTTCACAAAGCATTAATAATGCATAACAAACATGGCTGTATTGTACTTTTTATAAATATTTATGTTTATAATCCTTTATAATTGCATTACAATGTGTTATTGATGTGTTCATGGATTCTTATAGACATGGCATTCATAGAAAGAGTTAAAAAGGTATTTAGCAAATAAATGTTCTGCTGTTTTTGTGTTGCAGAGATCCAAACAAGCCGGTGCCTCAGGACACCAAGTTCATCCATACGAAGGCCAACCGCTTCGAGGAGGTGGCCTGGTCCAAGTACAACCCTCAGGACCAGCTGTACCTGCACATTGGCCTCAAGCCACGTGTCCGAGATCACTACCGGGCAACCAAGGTGGCCTTCTGGAAGCACCTCGTGCCGCACCTCTACAACCTCCACGACATGTTCCACTATACATCCACCACCACCAAAGTGCCGCCGCTGGAGACCACGCAGAACTCGCTGTCCACCAAGCGGCCCAACGGCAAGAGCTGGCCCTTCAACACCAAGCGGCCGCCCATGTCGCCGGCCTACAACAGCGAGAACGGCAAGGAGCCCTGGAACGGCGACGAGGAGCCGGGCCCCCTCCTGGTGGAGAACCCGCGAGACTACTCCACCGAGCTGAGCGTCACCATCGCCGTGGGCGCCTCCTTGCTCTTCCTCAACGTGCTGGCCTTCGCCGCGCTCTACTACCGCAAGGATAAGCGCAGGCAGGATTCACACCGCCAGCCCAGCCCGCAGAGGCAGGCCAACACCAATGACATGGCCCATGCGCCAGAGGAGCAGATGATGCCGCTGCAGATTAACCAGAGCCACCACGAGTGCGAGGCCGGGGCTCCCCACGACCCCCTGCGGCTGGCCTCCCTTCCCGACTACACCCTCACCCTCCGCCGCTCACCCGACGATATTCCCCTCATGACCCCCAACACCATCACCATGATACCCAACTCGCTGGTGGGCATGCCAAACCTGCACCCGTACAACACTTTCACAGCAGGCTTTAACTCCACTGGCCTGCCACACTCACACTCCACCACCCGGGTATAGCTTTAAGGAGAGTAGGGGGTGGTAGGGTATTGAGGCTTGGTGGGTTGGGGGGGGGGGGGGGGGGGGGGGGGGGGGCGGGGGGTTAAGGGGGGGGGGGGGGGGTGGTGGTGGTGGTGATGGGGGGGGCAGAATTTCTTTTTATAAATATTCTGGGTTAGGGAAGATGGGAGGAAAAGAACTGTAATTTAAAACAAATTAAAAACTTTTAACATGAAGAGTCGCAGAGACTCACTGGATGTCAAGTTGTTCAGAACTGCCAAATTGGAACTGCCTCTTCTATTACACAGAGGTGCAAGTCTATCAGCAGTGTTATTCTTTTCTAATAATCATTTTAAAAAGCCTTTTTAAAACGACTGTGGAGAAATTAACACTTTGTTCTCTATTAGATAACAAAAAACAAAGAGAAGTGCTTTTTATTTCTCATTTATGTCTGTTCTGGGAAAGTAGTTTAAAAACAACGGCCTCTAAGACGACATTGTGTATTACCTGTGTTGATATTATTTTCAATGCCTTACAAGAAAGCTTGTTGTTCTTCTGTTGATATTCTGACCTTTGATTCTTTGTGGAACGTGTGACATTCGGTTGTGGATGCGAGGATTTAAGGAAGATGTACGCAGGATGCACAAAAGGAGGATTACTCAGTGGCCATGTTGTTTGTTGCATATCCTTCAAAAGAAACAACCACAAAAATTATTTTCTCTTTTTTTCCCACCTACTGTATAAACAATCCGTCCGAAACAGACTCTGCCGAGACGGACGCTACCGCAGAGATGAGAACAATGTTACTGTGATTGTTTTGTTAAGAAAAAAAGTGCATCTTTTACAACAATTTATCTATCAGTCTATCTTATCTCTTCATGAAATGCATACCTGCACACGATGCCTTGTGCATATGTGTGTGTGTGCATGTGTACGGGTGCACCGGTTTTTGGGTTTGTGGAGCATCTGTGTGATGGGGGGCAGGCAAGGGTGGGTGTGGGGGGGGTGGGTGTGGGGGGGGGGGGTTGTGGCTTTTATCATGATGTTGATTTGATTCACCACATGTAGTGTCCACTGCGTCTATGGTCTGTCTGTCTTTGCGGAATAGCACTTCTGTTATTTTTAAAAGTTATTACATCTAATTTTGCTTAAAACAAGAGAAAATAAATCTATTATTTTCAATGTAAGAAAAAAGTAGTTAAAAAAATTCAACTAACGGACAACTCCACTCAAAGAATACAGGGGCCTGTTTGCATTTAATAAAACTTCCACAGCATGTTGTTCAAATCTTTTTCTTTATTTCTCTCTTTCTTTCTTTTTCTGTTTTTCGAGACTTTATCTCTATTCCTCTTTCAAAATTTTGGAGAAAAACGGAAGGAGAAAATATGCCATGGAAGTTTTATTTATATACACACATATACACAGACACACACACACACACACACACACACACACATATATATATATATGTGTGTGTGTGTGTGTGTGTGTGTGTATATAGGAGCTCTTTCACATTTTTGTAAGAGTTCCAGATATATCAATATGTATAAATATATTTAATATGCATTTATGTATACCAGATGTATACGTGCTGATTGTGCCGTGTGCCAAATTAGAGCCATCAAATTCGAAAAAAGCATCTTACAAAAAGTATTTTTTTGTGTAAATTGTTCTGTATCTTGATAAATGTTTGGTTTAGTTGTGTTTCTTTGGGAGGGGGTGCTTAATTTTCGACAACCTTTTGATTTAAGCGGGGTCATGATGTCGTCTTGGCGACTTGTCGAGGCTCTCTTTATGTTTATTTCTTATTTTGAGTTTTTCTCTGCACCCACTGGAAAAACAGGCTAAAACATCTGTGAGCTAAGCAGGAAATGAGTGTGACAGCGTGAAGCGCTTTGGCTGGTCTGGAGTCAGTCGAGGATATAGGTATTTGAGAGGTAGCAGCCCTACAAATGTGACAGCTGTTTCTAAGGCAGTTTGTAGTTTACGAGATAAAATTGAATCTCTCCCCAAGCCCATCAGTCTAAACACCTGAGGAGTGTCCCGGGGCGTAGTTTGCACAAGAAAGCGATTTGATTGGTGCGAGTGAGAATTGAGCGCATAGCGGGAACTGTGGCAGGTGAGACTCCATTAGGAGGGCGTGGCCTGACCCCTAACACACAGAAGCCCTCTCCTCCCAAACACATCGCCCAACCGCAGGGTATTCCCCACCCCACCCTGGTGTGCCTCTTCATCTCATCAGCCACACACCTGGGGTGCAGCACGCTGTCAAGTCAGTGTGTCTTATCAGCGTTACCAGTGGCCTGCTTGCTCACAAACACCCTTTCCGATGAGCTGAACAGGCCTGCAGATCGGCTCGGTGAAAGGCCGCGTCTCAGTCACACGTTACTCCGTGGCCCTGGGTCCGAGCCACAACGATCCCTTCGGCCCCTGCGTCTCTGTCTGCGTGTACAGCATGAGGGAAAAAGCCGACATTGATATGTTTATTTTTGCTATGTTTATATATACTTATAGACGGGAGACGGGGTCGGACACACATAACGCCGTGCACCGATGCGTGCTAAACTTGCATGCAAGAAGGATGCCTTCCATGACATTAGATTTGACTGCAGAGAGTGTCACATGGTGCGGATAATTCCGGAAACCATCATGGAGACTCATATGAATTTATTAGTCCCCCCCCTCCCCAAGAAGTTGCTGGGGGTGCTACTGTCTCAGGGGGCACCCTGGGTCGCCGTCGATCCCCACTCCGCCGGTGGTGGCAGTGGCGGCGGCTTATTATGGGCTGTTAGCCAAATGGGTAACGATTGCAGCGGAGGCAGCCTCGTCCTCAGACAGCTCTCTCCCAAGAGTCTGCTGCCACTGCTCGTGGAGCCCGGTTCCAGATCACTGCAGGCCAGCTGCCCGGCTCTGAATGCCCAGGGGAGGGACCAGGAGGATCTGGGAGGCTCTGAGGGACAGACAGGGAGGGGCAGGAGCGCCCAGGGAATGTGCTTATGGGACAGAAACGCTTTTGTGTGTTTATCTTTTTGATCTGGTTGGAAAGCTGAGGACCAAACTGAGCAACTTGGCTGTTCTGTTTAGTGTTTCATAGCTCCTTCAGTAAGCTATGGTATTTTTTGCTCCATTTTATCAGCTGTCCAGTAAGAGCCCATTAACAACATCAAATGTTATTGAGATATAAAGCAATACATAAAACACATTCTTCATAATCAGCTTCGATTCACCCTGATCCTGATTAATGGAGCGAGATCAAATGTCATGTCCACCATTTGAAATACTGAAGTCCATCTAAAGCAAAGCAATTAACATTCTGCATATATCAATTAACATTGTGCAAATGACGAGAATTAATATTCTAATAAAGACTACGGTGTCATTATTGTGTAACCATAACAAGACGTTTTTTTCAGTTGGAATGGTATTGTTGTACTTCATATTTATTTTGTTTGTAACAGTATAGAATCCAAATATGAAGCAGGGTCAGGATAGCTGATGAAATTAGACAGAGTGGGTTTATCACAGCGGGGAAATGTGGCGAATGGGTGGACAGGATTCCATCAGCACCACCTGGGAGCAGGAGAGCATGTGTGTGTGTCTGTGTGACGAAGTGTGTATATATGCTTGTTTGTTTGCATCCATAAGGAGCTGCTCTCAGGAAGGGGCTGTCCAGATAATCACAGATCATGCTACTCATGTAATTAGAAGGACATTCTAGCAGCGTTACAACTCACTTCCCTCTAACATGAACTTCAGGCCCCTAACAGACATTTTTTGCATTTGTGTTTCTGGAATTTTACACTCAGGATTCTTAGAGGATCCCCAAAATGCATTAGCCAAGGTTCGCTGTATGGAAGAAAGGCGTTAAGCATCTTACGCCTTTTTGTTTTATGCATCAGTACCAGATACAGCTCTGATAACCCGTCCAGTACGTCCACCAAGCTCCCCGTTTACGTGGTGGCAGATGCTGGGTGATTCTGCTCAAAAGTGCTGGCAGCGGCTTCCGTTTCACCATGCAGGCACCAGGGCTGGGCACGACGCCAGTGCACGGGGTAGTGCCGCCCAAGCGGGAGCGTCTGGTTCGCCGGAGCAGACCGGCACTCTGTAGGCCCGCGGAGTCACGTCTGCGGCGTCATGGAGCCTGACCGCCGTCCCGCTGCAAGGACGATGGCCGTGTCAAAATTGTTTATTTTTTTTTTCACGACCGTCTTCCACACTGCTACTGGCATCCCTACTGTAATGAAGAACGTATCGCGGTGCTTTTTGGCCCAGAATCCTCCACATGGGAGAGAAAATGCCTTGAACCCTCCTCCGCCTCGGGGGCTGGTTCGATGTGGCTGGCTAGCGCTGGGACAGGGTTCTGGAAGCAGACCCCTATCCTCTCCATCTGTTGGTGGATTTGTACCATCCTCTCTAACCACTCCCCTCCGGCACCAGATACGCATTGTAACTTGAGCGCCCTCGCTCATCCAGTCTGTCCTTTGCAGTGTGAGTCTCCCGTGCGCGGCTGCATGTCCTCAGAATGAGAGGCTGACAGAGACCGCACCAGAAATAGACCACAGATAGACCGCACCATAAATAGACCACAGATAGACCGCACCATAAATAGGGCAAGGAAAAAAAGAGAGGCCACCTCAGAGATATTAGCCTGCTTTTCATCTGGGATCATGAAGATCATTGTCGAGACATTCTGAAACTGAGAAAACAATTACAAAAATAATTACAAAAAAAAAAAAACAATTACAATTGTTTTTCACAGCAGCAAAGGTTTGGTATATTTTTCAGGTTTGTAAACATACTAAGCAACAGTACTGGAGCTGTGTGAATTACCTACCTTAAATATTTTGAAAAAATTTGTAAGTGACAATAAAGATGAAATCAATAAAAAAAATGGTTTGTGACTGCAGATGAACACTTTGGTTACATGTTCCCAGAGGCCAGACCCCACTTGAAATTTATGGAGTAGCAATTAATTCAGTAATCTTCGGATATCAAGCAGATTTTGTGTGGATACTACAAAATAAAGTAATGACAAGCAGTAAGTTTGTCGTGGA